GACACCACATTCCACGTCAATTGGATTAGAAATTGATCCCCTAACACGTACTTAGAGTTTCCGTTGGTAAAGGAAGTTGCCAATCCAACCAAGTACTGGATCTCCGATTCCGTAAGTTTGTAGTCTTTGAAGTAGGATGCGGTGATCAAGGCGGTCGAAAGCTGTGGAGAAGTCCAGATAGATGACGTCGACTCCGACCCCATCATCAGCCACTTCCGTCCAACTTCCTCGTGCATTGAGTAGGTTGGTGGTGCATGACCGATGTTGACGGAAGCCATGCTGTTCCGCTACCAAGATGTTGCATTTTCCAGGTAGTCCATTAAAGCCTCAGCGACGACTGCTTCCATCACCTTCGCGAGCACAGGGAGGAGAGTCACTGGACGATAGTTAGCAGGATCGGAACGGCTACCGCCTTTAAAAATAGGGTTTATAATGCCACACTTCCACATAGTGGGGACTTGTTGTTCATCAAAGCACCTTCGAAAGAACTGTGACAGTGGTTCAGCTAGCTTAGTGGCCATAGCCTTCAGTGCCTTCGGGCGGATGTTGTCTGCTCCCGGAGAACTATGTTCACGCAGTGAGAGTAACTTCCTTAGCACAACTGATGGGTTGAAAATAACATTCGTAAACACTGGTGTCGGTAATGAGCTTGATATTTTGGGACAGGTAGAGATTGTGAGTTCAAAAATTGGGGCGTATTGCAGCCGCAGGGCATTAGCTGCTTCTTCGGCGCTTTGTACTCTACCGCTTGTCGTGAATAGTGGGGGTATTCCATGCTTCACTTTACGAAGCTTATTGACATGCTTATACAGCAGTTTGTTGTTTGCCATGAACCTTTTGTCTAGGCACTGTTGATAAGTTATTTTGTCCTCACGGACAAGTGCGGTGCAATGGTTTCGATGGGCCAGGAACTTTCCCCAAGTCTCCGAGTCGGGGTTAATCTTGTAGGCACGCCATGCTGCATCCATTATCGCCAGACATTTGCGAGTCTTACTCCTTATAATTGAAGGCATTTTCGCGGGACGACGGGGTTTGGTCTCTGTTGCTTTGTTGACGATGTCGCTGAGCTTATTAACGAACTCTGCCCAGCCTAAGGAACAAGGTGCACGAGGTGGGTCTACTTGTAGACAAATCTCGTCCCGACATACTTGCTATCTCCGAAACGTGGCTGTCCCCGAATATCACAGATTGTGAAGTATGTTTGCCTGGCTACGCACTGCTTAGATGCGATCGCTCCGTTGGCCGCCAAGGTGGGGGCGTCGCTCATTATGTGAGTAGTAAACTCGATGTGTTGAGGACTTGTGTGTTCCAGTCGCCGGATCAAACTGTTGAAGCCCTTTCGGCTATTGTGTGCACTTCCTCCGCTCAGTTTACAGTTGTAGTGGCATATCGAAGTCCTGGTAGTATCTCCGGGGAGGTTATTGAATTTATTCGTACTCAGGCTGCCAATAGGTGTCTAATACTGGGTGACTTCAACCTCCCTGAAGTCTGCTGGGCTGATCTACCTTGCAGTTTGGCGGTGGGCACTTTGGGTTCGGATCTCCTTGAGCTAACATTGCAACTGCCTTTGCATCAGTTCGTGGACCTCCCGACTAGATATATGCGCAACCAAATTCCGTCTACCTTGGATCTCATTTTTGCGAAGTCACACGATTTCGTAAGTGATATTACCTACGACTGTCCTCTAGGAGCCAGTGACCATGTCTGCATATCCTTTCGATGTGCTCTAACTAAGTGTCATCAAGCTACCGCTGAGGCATGTCCAAATATTTGGCGGGCAGACTTTAACGCAATACGAGCCAAAGCTTCAGTTTTGCGTTGTGCGATCACCGTGGCTGACACCGTTGAGACAGCCTGGGAGAAATTTAAAGCATACCTCACTGAGATCTCTGCTCCCCACATCCCATTCACTAAGAGAATGGTGACACGGGCGCAGCCTCCATGGATAGATCATACAGGTAAATACCTGCTCAGGAAGCGCTCTAAGTGCTGGCGAACTTACCAAGCGGCTTCATCAACCAGCACCTACGAAAGCTATCGAGCGGTTAGAAATAAATGTAAGCATCATCTTAGAGCTCTTCGTCTTCAGTACGAGGAGGATTTGGCTAACGCAGCCGTAAAAAACCCAAAGAAGTTCTTTGCTTACATAAAGAGACGTAGCGGTACAAACTCGTCTATACCGGCTTTACTACGAGCGGACGGGACCCATGGGCATACCGACTATGATAATGCCTGTATACTTAGCGAACAGTATACTGGTGTCTTTTCTCATGAGGCCTCTCTACCTCAAGTTGAGCTGGTCACTAAAGTTCCGGAGGATTCTTGCCTAACTGAAATAAGCATAACGGAGACACAAGTCTTCAGGCTATTGCAATGGCTAAATCCTTCCAAAGCTTCTGGCCCTGATTCAATTCATCCGAAGCTGATGCATGAATTGGCCGCTGAGCTTAGTGGCCCTCTGACATGCATGTTTACAATATCACTCGACAGCTGTGCCTTACCTTCTGAATGGAAGAAGACAATCATCTGTCCGATTTTTAAGGGCGGGGACAGAGTTCTGCTCGCGAACTATCGGCCTGTCAGCTTAACAAGCGTAGTAGTTAAGTTGTTTGAAAAATTGGTCAGGGATTCGGTGGAGAATCACCTGATTAAGTTTAACCCTCTCAGTGCGGCCCAGCACGGATTCCGTAAGGGATTTTCATGTCGGACAAATTTGCTTGTAGCTCGTGAAAGCTGGGCTGAGGCAGTAGACAAGAGCCACGCCATCGACGTGCTTTTCGTTGACTTCTCGAAAGCCTTTGATACTGTCCCACATCAGCGACTCTCATTGAAGTTGAGATCGTATGGGATATCTGGAGCCGCCCTTAAATGGGTTTCTGCTTTCCTAGAGGGCATAGAACAGTGTGTACGCGTGGGGCGTAGCCTTTCGCTTAGACAAGCTGTTCTTAGTGGCGTTCCGCAGGGCTCGGTTCTAGGGCCGTTGCTTTTCGCAATTTATGTCAATGACCTACCCGAGGAGCTTGGAGTACCGTCGCTATTGTTTGCTGATGACCTCAAGCTCTGGAATATTGTGGATATCCCTGGTGGCTCTGAGGCACTTCAGAGTGCTTTGGATAGGCTCTGGGATTGGTCAACCTTATGGTTGATGCCCATAAATCAGGCGAAATGTTCTGTCCTCCGCATTGGAGGTGCTAGTCCCCCCACGCGCTATGTAGTTGGTGGAAGTGAACTCCCTGTTGTCATTCAGCAGGTTGATCTAGGTATCACCCATACCTCCTTGCTTCACTCTGGGGAAAATTGGAGGAAGGCTGCTTGTAGAGGGTTCCGTATGATGTGGTTTATTCGCCGCTCCTTCGGTGTCCTAACGGCCAATATCTTTGTGAAGCTGTTCTCAGCTTTCGTGCGACCTCACTTAGAGTACTGTATCCAGGCTTGTCCACCTTGTCTTGTAAGGGACAAAATGGAACTGGAGAGGGTTTTGCGAGTGGGTACAAGGTTAGTGCAAGGATTACGGGGGCAAACGTATCCCGAACGTTTGCTTAGCTTGGGTATGTACTCAATGCACTACCGCAGAATTAGTGGAGACTTGATTCTCACTTACCGTATCTTAACGGGTAAGATCGGTCCAGATTTGTCCTGGCTATTTAGTCCCGCCAAGCTGCCTAGTCTCCGAGGTCACCCGTTGAAGCTGCACAAACTGCGTTCTGACCGGGTAAGGACGGAAACTCGCTTGTCGCGTCGAGTTATTGAACGTTGGAACTCGCTTCCGGCGCACGTGGTTAGGGAGTCTACGGTAGAGGGTTTCGAGCGTCAGTTAGATGCTCTAGGGTGGCAGTACCATACCTTCCCCTTCTCCTAACCGACTTGTATCTTCAACTTTCCCTTCGTTCTTTTTTAATTTTCTTCTCACCTTGGTATTATCATTATTTAGCTGACATTCCTCCTCTTCTTTTCTTAGCTTACCCTTCACTCTTTTACTTCACATAAACCGGCCCGGCAGGGACTGCTGGGCAGGAAAATGTGGTCAGTAATTGGTTGGACAGGGTGTGATGCGGTCTTTGTTTTAGGCTTTTCAACATCTCAAGTAGACCTATCAATTCCCGATTCAACGATACGCAAAAGAAGGAACATTCACGGGATTATCCTATCGTTCCGGTCCCAACTGAACTTGAACTTGAACGTGAACCTTGGTCGCTGGTACTGCTTCGTTTTGCGCTATTGTCTTGCTTCCTTGAAACTGCGTTTCCGCAGGTGTACCTATCAGGTATTTCGGTTAAACATTGTTTGATACGTAGGTGTTCCTTTTCAGCATGTCACGTCTACGAAGTTATCAATTAACTGCACAGTTTCCGTCTCGTAGCACCATTTACCGTGCAGCGAAAAGAATGACATCAGGATTCAGCTACGAAGAGGTGCTTCTGTTGTCAGAAGCTAAACGGCAGAAGGGTAAGAGCATCTTTAACATACCTTAAATATGAGTGCTTACACAGTTCAGCCACATGCACACGTTATCAACCGCAGTGAAGATGACAGGGATCCCGATGAATTGGTACATAACTTGAGAAAATTGATCGCAAAATCTCAAGTACCAGCGTCTTTTGTTCGTCTATTGTTGTGCCTTGTGCAGCCGTGGATGCCAGTTTTGTCAAGTCATATTCTCTTTAAGTACATTGCTTTACCCTTGAACGATTTTCTCGTAATTTACCCTATGCCACACAGTTATACACTTTAACTACTAACGTCTCGCTTTTTCAGCAATGATGGCTTTTCAAGGATACAGCGTTGTCAAACTCCTTGACTCCGAGGATTTAATAATTATTGTCAGTAACACTTGGCATAGAGAAGAAGGTTCATAAGCTCAAATACCTTCAGTGCGGGGTACGCACTACTATGCAGCGGTGAAAAATCACACTGCGCCGGATGTCGATGTGGTCAGCACTGCCGTGTCCATAATCGTTAGCACTAGTAAGTATTTCTCTTATAATAACCCACCTCGTTAGTTAGCTTCCAGCATGCCCGAGAAATGGAACGGCAATCTGACCGCGGGATGCTGCCATCGACAGATGATACAATTCCCATGGGCCTTCCAGCTAAGCGTGCAATGTGAGTATTGTGTTTTTATTTCCCCTTAGACGCCGGCCCGTCCGTTCTAGCTCCGATGACGAGGATGCCGCGCGTCCAAGCAAACCCAAAAGGCCTTCTGCAGCAACCTACGCACGTGCGCCCTCCTCTCTGTTCAGTGGCATTAGTCCGTCACGTCCAGGACCATCAACAAGCAACCGTAAGTATCGATTTCATACTGCCCCTATTAAACAGTAATCGCGCCACCGGTTATTGCTGACGTCCCACCAAGCAATCTGGATGTGCTGCACGAACTGTAGTCCCTAAAATGTAAGACGCCACAGATGTATTGCATTGCACTCAGCCTTATTTTTAGATGAGTTGTGTCTCATTCGATCAGAATTGGTCGGCCCTCGCCGCATGTCCGAAGCGATGTTGCAAATGCTACAACGACAATCCCAAAGTGTTGCGCAGGGACTATCTCTGCCATTCATCTCTCTCAGTGAGCTAAAGATATATGATGAACGGCTGAAGGACCCCGATTTCAAAATCAGAATCGTAAGTTCGTCTTATTATTCAACTACTTTAGGTCAACCATTTATGTGCTGTGCACGGTGCTAACATACAACTCATCGTCCGAGGTACCATGGAGCGGCTAATGACAAGATCAGTTGCCGCGGAGATAAATTACTCCGGCGCTAGAGGTTCGTTTGCATTCAGGCGAACAAATAAACGGCCTTGTACAAGGTAGGTTGAAATGCACTAATCCATAAAAACTACCAAGGCCTCATTCGGCAACGCATGGGCGATGCAGCCTCGGATGCTGACATTACACGGCACATCAAAACGTGGTTGCATTCTGCACGGCACAAAAGACCGCCATTTGAGCAAACTAAAGTATGCAATGCGAATGAGGTGAGTCCCCTGCTTCCTTAGGCACATCTTTAGCCTCCTACGTTTACACTCGCGGAAGCGGATTAAGAATATTGACTATGCCGCTTTCTGCTACTAGCGTTCTTTGTACTGCACCCCTTCATGTATATATAGCATTCCTATTCCTCGGCTTTAATTTTCTTTCGCCTTGTGATGTCAGGTGCGCGGTAAGAGCGGTTTCCTTTTCTGACCAACAGATTTGAGTCGCCGCCTAGGTGGGTCCCCAAGTCCAGAAACTACCGCAACTGGTACCGGGTGAACACTAGTTCCGAGCTGTCCATATATTCGTTAGGCGCATAGTGCGTTCAAATGTGTTGTCCGTATTCGGATACCCATGGGAGGCAATGACGGGATATAGACCAACCGGATTGTCACGCATAGTGGTGAATTTCTATTGGTCAACGCTAGCATCATCTTCATTGGTGCAACCTAAACTGGACAGGAACCCTTTTTATCCGTCTCACAGTAATACTTCCTGTCCAGTTTAGCCTAATGCTCTCATAGGAACGTTTAGGATGCTAAACTGGACAGGACCTGGACATGTGCTACCAGGGCAGTAGGCATACTGCGCAGTGGTGGTGCAAACTTAATGTTTGATAGAAATAGCTAGATATATAAGGCATAAAAGTAAGGGTATATTTAACGATGTGAAACTGCAGTTAAAAATTTAATGCCAGATACCCCAGATGGTATGGATATATATGTCATCCGACGGATATATATATCGATATATTTATTTAGTTATACCATATTTTTATTTGATAATATGAGTGAAATGAGAAAAATAATATATACATATATATATATATATGGATGGCGGCATTCTGTTTCGGATTAATAATACCGGGAGTTCATTGAGTTCCTCGCAGGAATGTGAATGGGATCCACGTTTCATCAACGAAGCCGGCCCACACTCCTTCAAAGTGAAACACGAGCACGCTGTATTTGGGAATCAGTTGAACACAATGCGGTGGCTGGACCGTAGGCTGCCCCAAACTGAGCGCATGGTACCCATCTTTGATCCTAACACGGCCACAAAGACAGTGCACTCTGTCCCCTTTAGTAACAACCAACTGTCTCCTAGAGCCAGCGTGGACGAGGTAGTGGGTAAGAGACGGGTGGGCACCTAGTCAACATGCACATCAAGCGCAGCCACGCCGGAGATATCAAGCGACAGCCTATCACTTGAAACGATAAGATGTAATGCAATAAATAGGATAAGGCATACAGCTACGGAGACGTAACTCTTCACAAATGGGCGTATGAACATGATTACGAACGAATCCGCGATAAGTTCACGGGGTCTTAAAGCATATTTTATAGAAATGCCACAAACACGAAAATGCTATCGAAATTAACTACAACTGGCTAAAACAACTTGTGAAAGTTTATAGAAGAGAGTATTGGTAGACATTTATATAAGCAAGATAATCATTCCGGCAAACTTACAAACCCACCACTTGATATATATATATATATACATATATATATATATATATATATATATATATATATATATATATATATATGAAAACCATGCTAACGCCTATCCATATATTTAGACGTATTTTTTTCTAATGAAATGTATATAGAAGTTTGCAAGTGTGACTTAAATTGGGAAATGTGATAACGCATTCGTCGATCGGTAAATGCTGGCATTCCCTATGTAGGGAGGCATCTTTCTTCCGTTGAATGTCAGCACTGGAAATCATCATGCGGCATAATAATAGGCCATCGGTATAAGTGTTGACACATGCAAGTGTCAACCGCAATGTAACCATGTGTACTGATATCGCGTGGACAACATGCACTGAACCTTTTCTAAAAGTTAAGTAGGTAAGTTAACATTTATATTACGTAAGCGAAATGTTGCGCACGGTGCCACAATGGGAGAAAAAGGAATAATTTGCCGCGTAAAAATTTGTAGGATAACGTACGCTCCTTGTTTAGCAGAGCTTATGATCCATATAGCATTGCTTGACGTAGTGGTACATGCATGAGCGCAGTGTGGTGAATTGTTATTATGCGAACCCAAAGCGCTTGCGACACAACGAGTTGCATACCGAAGAGATCAGGCGCGCACTTATTAATTTCGCGTTGGCGATGATGAGCGAAATGGAATGGGAGGGGTTGCACATGACCAGAAACGTCCGCACCAAATCGAGACGTGTGTATTATTGGGACCGTAGTTCTTGGGTGTGAGAATAGAACTTCGAACTACCTGCGACTACTGTCGTCTGCGTTGGGAGTGTTCAAATTGCCCATAACCCGCGAAGCGACAATACTGAAAAATGTTTGATCGTTTTCGGTCACGACATAGAAGGGGTATGCTTAAGAACCGGAAGTCTAATAGAGCGTTAATGTATATAGTCTACGATTACGGACCCACCCACTGTACTAGCGGCCAAGTGGTGCGGCGCCTGCAAGCATTTGAGTGGGCACTACTGCTTTGTAAGGAAGGACCATAAAGCTGTAGGGCATAGGGGCCTTCGGGTCGTTCGATAATAATTGGAAAGCGGAGGCAATTAACAGTGCGGAATAACGAGGGGAATGCGAACGTCGTGACGAGCAGTTTTGATACCTGAGTACAGTTTACGCTATATGCGGAGTGGGATGGAATGTAAATAAGCACGGAAGAGCATCGGTTATCTGAAAAGTAATTGATTGGAGCAGCGCCACACACCGGTAAACATGGGTGGCACTGCAATGCGGTAGACAAATGACCGCGTGTAGCATGCGGGCAGGTAGGTGAGGAAGAGGCGCGATAGACAAGGTAATTTGATATAAACGATAATCAGCTCCCTGCACACTTACATTTTCCCATGTGGTGATTTACTGGAGCACTCATGAATGAAATACAGGGATGCGGCATGTTGCAAGTAGCGGGAGACATGATGCTATATCGTTGAATATTTATGCCAATATGATGGGTGTTTAGTAAGCATATAAAACTGCCACGGATGTGGCATTACTGTCAGCACTCAAGGAGATTCCCTTAATTGCCTTGCCTGCTTGACCAGTGCAAGAAGAAGTATTATAGTTACCATAACAGGGGCGGCATGCTCGCAGTAACAGGTATCCATGTTCGCTTCACTAGCGTAAGCCTAAGTATGTGCAACCGATGTGCATCAATGTTGCCAGTAGCTCTACGAGCCTCCATTAATGGTGGTATCTTAGTCCATATACGTCCCAAGGCACTAACATCAATATTACCACGGGGTAAACTACAAATATTGGCTGCACATGACTTCTAGACGTATTCGTAGTCATACAATATTTGTCCCACAGTAACTGTTTCATTATGGCGACAAGCGTGGGGGATATTGTTGGCTCCACAAAATTCGCGACCGGGGTTTATGGAGCCCATGTTTGTGGCACAACGTTGTCATCAGTACCGCCGCTAATAACACTGTTCGAACTTCACAACCCCAGGAAGGTTGTTTACTATGCCAATGTAAGGCCTTTGGCAGCTGCATCCGCCTCGCTGCTGTGGAAGTAGCAGCTGTTGGATTCACATGCCTTCCTGACGGGCCTATCTGGGTGCTAAACCAGTGGCATTAGAATAGCCACTGGCAAAGTATGCACTATGAACATGGTGCGCCTCCACCAGGAGTATTGATTAGGTTCATGTAAATCCCATAGCCCACGATATTAGCGCTAGGAGGGAAGCCCCTGACATGGGCTAAAGTAATGTATCAAGAAGCACGCATGGAGTGGGTTTTATCAATGTCATTGGTACAAGGTTTACAGGCTCAAAATTAATTGCCTATTTCGAGTCGTGGAATACAAATGTTGGACAGGCCTATCGCTGCATACTCACGGAGATATGGCCTAAAATATGCAACACGGTAATTAAAGGGAAATATTCCGCAAAATTAAAGGCGGATGTTTGTACGGTTTCCAAATATTCACGTCGTTATGGGGAGCGGTCTCGGCGCTATTGACCCACAACGCGCAAGCACTGAGGAACGGTGTATTGAAAATTGTGCCAAAAAAACCCACAGGAAACCAATATGCATAGATGTAACGCAAGGTTGACTAACAAATTTAAGAGGTATCGAGGTTGTGCACCTCCAGGCAGTCAGCGTGGACCCTGCAAAATATACATGTGCAGGAGATGCGTTTCTAGAAATAATAAAGGCCGTTGGATTCGATGAGAAACACATGATCAACTAGCATAGCCCTGTCACCTGGTAATCTGTGACTAGGGTGCATATGTTCGCGTGAAGCACTGAAGCCAAACACTGCAAGTGCGGGCCTTATGAGCAGGGAATCTCACCTGCAGTT